TAAACCTCCTGAACTGATGGCAAGTCTTTACTTCCCAAGATTTGCACCTTGATGGACTCATATGAAGGATTCAGCCCCAAGAGGAAGGAAAATACCCGTTGCTGAGATACAAGTGATTTGTATGCCTTTGCATCCTCATCACACTTCCAGTTAACATTCTGATAGTGATCAAGTTCTTTCCATATCAATGTCAGATCCGAATAGTACACCGATAGACTCCTTTCTCCTTGCTTACAAGTGGACGATTCAGCTTGCAGTTGGTATATCTTGGCATAGTGTCTCTGCTCTGAATATGTGGACTTTGCTTGTTCCCATATTTCACAAGCAGTTTCAGCCCACATAAAAGTTTTTCTCACCTGTGGCAGCATGGAAACCAAGAGCCAAGACATCACCATACTATTTTCTTGGTTTCATCTATCATATTCAACACTTCCACTCTTCGGTTCCTTCACTTTCCCATTGATGTATCCTATTTTTCCCCTAGCAGTGATGTAGAGTTTTACTCCCCTAGACCATTCAAGGTAATTCAGACCATCAAAAGGAATGACAGCCATGGAGAAACTCATATCCATTCCCCCACTTACCACATTTTGATTTCCAGAAATCCCTGAAGTAGCAGAATTCTCAGAAGACATGGTCAACACAGAATTATTTTTATAAAAAAACTTCAACTTAGGATCCCTCATATCAGAACAAAAAACTCCACACACAACAAGTGATTAGTCCACCCACACTGCAGTTTTTTGGACTTAATCTGAGCACAAGACCAGCACCAATTTCCAGAATAAACAAGATGACATCTGATTTTCAGACCCGTACCGAGTAGCAGTCCCAGCCTACTAGTTTTCTCAGCAGGTCTACAAGCAATTATCACAAGGGGAGATCCTTACACACAAGGCATCAAGCCAACAAGTACAGGATCACACGATCCAAAACAAACAGAGGAAAAACCTCAAAAGGGTGTGCCAACATTTAGTGGTTCAGGTCCATTCATTTTCCTCTTGGTACACGACCAAGGGAAGAGAAGAAAAGAAAAAAAAATGGGGCAGTACCAGTTGCAGGCCTGATTCGAACAACCCAGATGTACTCTGTTCCGCCCAGATTCAGCAGCTTGGAGAAGACACTTGATCCCCCAGATTCAATGGCCACACTCTGATACCATCTTGACAGTAAATCTGATTGAAGGTTACAGCAAAGAGAAGAGAAGAGAAGGAAGAAGTGTTGAGGCAATGGAACAGTACTGGCGGTGCCAGCTTCATATAATATATAGGGCAAAAAAATAAGAAGGGAAATGACCCTTGTGCCCCTACTAAGTGATAGTACAATAATAGATTAAAATAAAAAATGCTTTAATTAGCCAAACAAACCCTAACAAACATAAAATCAATTATTTTAGCACTTTTAACAGTAATAAAGTAACTTAAACTTAATCACTTGGTAGAGCCCAAAAAATCATATTTTTTTGATCAATAAGCCTAAAAACCATATTATTCATAGTCTAATCTCGTACTCTAGGTAATGTTGTTGCAAAAATACACAGTAGTTATATTACCACTTCCATTTGTCATCCCTAAAATTCACCAGCCATTCTTTAAATCCAAAATCAGCACTTTTGTTGTCATACCATTCATAGTCCAGTCTCTTGCTCCAGGTAATGTTGCAAAAATAAACAGTAGTCATATTACCACTTCCATTTGTCATCCCAAAAATTCACCAGCCATTCTTTAAATCCAAAACCAGCACTTTTGTTGTCATCTCCTTTTGATTAACTGGTCTCCTTGAACAATTCTGAATGGATTTACCATGTATCTGTGAATGAGGGGTTATTTTAGAAGGTTTTACAGTGGGAGATGAAAGGGTTGAGGTTTCTTTATTGCAGTTTGCCAATGACACTTATTTTTTGTGATGCATCTCGTGAACAACTTGGTTATATTAATGCAGTTCTGTGGTGGTTTGAGGTTGTGTCAGGCTTGCTGTGGGGGAGGTGCAAGAGCTAGAAGGATGGGTGGTGGAATGGGGGTGTAGAACGGGCAAACTGCCTCTGAAATATTTGGGGATGCCTTTGGGAGCTAGGTGTAATTCCAAATCGATATGGGAGCCTATTTTGGAAAGAATAGAGAAGAGATTAGCCTCTTGGAAAGCTAAATATTTGTCATATGGAGGTAAAATAACTCTGCTAAAAAGAATGTTGTCTTCCCTTCCTATATATTTACTCTCATTGTACCCAATTCCTGCTGGAATGGCAAATTCCATAGAGAAGATGAGAGAATTTTTGTGGAGAGGTTGGAGTCTGGAGAGATGAGAAGAAAAAATATAAGCTGGTGAATCGGAATAAGATTTACAAACTTTGGAGGAGGGTGGTGGTGGCTAAATATGGTTACAGGAATTCTGGTTGGGTACCAGGGGAGCCAAATAAACCCTATGGATGTTCTGTTTGGAAAGGTATTGGGAAAGCTTATGATCTTTTCTCAAAAGGAATATGGTTCAGTGTTGGGGATGGTCTCCGGGTAAATTTCTGGAAGGACATCTGGTGCAACAACAGATCCTTGATGAATATTTATCCCACTGTTTGAAATGGCTATGGATAAAGAGGCTCTTGTATCAGATTATTTGCAGGTGCAAAATGGAAGTTTGGTATGGGTGCCTCTTTTTAGACAAAATTTGAATGATTGGGAAGTGGAGTCACTGGTGGATTTGATGCATAAACTATATAGTACTCAAGTGGACGTAGGGAGAAAGGATAGAACTTGGAAGTGGGAGAAATCTGGGGTTTTCTCTGTTAAATCCTTTTACATCTCTAGGTCAGAGGATAAGCCCATCCTAGTCAACATCGTGTGGTGTAAGAGTGTGCCCACAAAGGTAGCATTTTCTGTGTGGATGGTCTATCTGAACAGGATTTTAACCAGGGATAATTTGGTGAGGAAAGGCATGCTTCTGGACACCACCATTTTGTGTTCTCTGTCAGGAGCATAATGAATCAGTCAATCATTTGTTACTACACTGCAGCTTCTCTTCCGAGGTTTGGAATAAGGTCGGGTTCTTGTTTGATTGCTAAGATGCTGCCCTGAATTGGTGGTGGACTTTGTGAAGAGCTGGAAATGTCTCACAAAAGGGGGGAAACTGGCATGGAACTTGGCTTCTGCAGCAGTTTTTTGGTGTATTTGACAGGAGAGGAAYGCAAGGGTTTCCATGAATCAACATAGCTCTACAGAAACAGTTTTTCGGAAAACTTTGGGGAAAATGTTCTCTTGTCTAGCGAACAGATTGTTTTAAGGACAAAATTATAATTCCTTTTTGGTTTTTGAGAATCTTTTTATAAATCAGGATTTGGGGGTATAGGACTGCATGGGCAGTATTTGTAAATCCCTGTGTACAGCTCCTTCTTATACATGTTTTTTGCTCTATTTCAATGATATTATACTTTACCTGTTTCCAAAAATATCTGTGAATCAGTATTGACATTTCTTTGTGATCTAAAGAGTTGATCAATGAGAGAAAAAAACGTAAAGACCAGTTTTCAATATCCACTATTATTCTTCTTATGCTGTACTCTTGTGAAATTTTAATATGAATTGGGAAGGAGATGAAACAAGCCAGTTTATGCTGGCCTATTTTATTTTGGATAAAAGTTTGGGATCTCAGCCAGTTTCTTCTGTAATTTGGTCAAATATTTTTTTTTCCATTGTATTGTCAGACCAATTTTCAATCCTGATATTATTCAATAGTGGATGGAACATTTCTAAACCGAGGTCAAATAGGGTTGTGATGGTGTAGTAATGTGTGGGGTCAAGATTGAAATTCAATATGGCATGCCTAATATTATCAGACTGAATTTCTTTTCAGTCTTTTCATGTTGTCTGGTTAAACCTTGTTTATGATACTAACCTGGATCCTTTTTTGTTTTCTTGTCAGCTGCGTGAATACATTGATGACACTGAGGATTACATTAATATTCAGGTAATTGCTTGGAATCTTGAAATCCAAAATTACAAGCAAGTGGATCCACTTGAATGTTAAAATGTGGTCTAAAGAACCTCGTGCATTTTTATTGCAGCTTGACAATCATCGGAATCAGTTGATTCAGGTGATGATGCATCTGAGCCCTCTACAGATTTATTTCTTCAACAATGTCTTTCACTTCCATTTTCTCTTTGTATTGGTTTTCTTCTATTTTTATCGGCACTGTTTTCCTTCTATTTTGATTTTCCAATGAAGAGAAAAATGTGTGTTCTTGATGTTATTAGACCAGGTTATAGAATTTTGTTGTACCATGACCTAAAGGGCTTCTTTGTTCTTTCAACTTGCTTTATGGCTTCAGCTAGAGCTCTTTCTAAGTTCGGGAACTGTTTGTCTATCCATCTATTCTTTGGTGGGTGGAATATTTGGCATGAACATCCCATACACATGGAATGATAACCATGGTTACGTGTTTAAATGGGTATGTAAAGCATTTGTCTTGTGAAAGTGAAACTGGGTTTTTGTTTCAGTGTATATGGATGATGTTTGATCTTTAAATTGTTGTTAACAGGTGGTCATCCTTACTGGAATAGTCTGTGCATCCCTTTTTGTATTGATTATTTCCTATGCCCGCTACAAAGGTCTTGTAGGATCTTGATATCTTCAACAGAAGTAAGGTACTCTCAAAGGAGATGGAAATCAACTCCTAGCACTCGTGGTCTGTACATGAAATAAGTTACAGCTGCTGAGACTTGACATAAAGGTTAGTGAAGCTTTTAAGAACATAATTTGCTCCTCCTCATTATGAGTGCTGCTTAAAATTAGAACGTGAGTTTTGAGATAGCATTATCATTTAAATTTTAGAAATTTTGTTTTTGTTTCGATTATTCTTTTAAGCGTTAAAATTTGTCCTTGTGGTTTTACAAAATTTAGTGTAGGTTCGATGAAGCAGGCAGCGTTTTATGGCAGACTATGGTGGTTTTCTTTTAAGCAGCAGAATATTGTTTCTTCGGGAGAGAGAAATAACAAACTTATCTGTTCAAATTCAGGCTTCAATTAACAATGAACCATGAAAGGGTATATGGTAATTTTTTTGTTGATTTTTTTTTTATTATTTTTGATTGATATTTTTTCTTATTTTAATATACCTCAGAGTTGGGTGGAAACTACTGCACAAGTGCACCCATGATATATGTAATCAGTAACTGAGCTAGGAATCAGTTTATCTCAATACATAATTGGATTGAGGTTCATACTTCAAAGTATCGTTAGTACAGAGTATTGCAAGGAAATTTTAAGATAAATATCAGTTTATCTCAACGAGGTGTAAGCACTTGGTATGAACTATGAAATACACACTCAGTAAACATTGAGAGATGGAAAAATTAAGATAATGCATATAAGCATTTAATAAACCAATATAAATCTCACTATTTTTTTCTTTATTTTTTAAGGGTAAATTGCATATAGGTGCCCTGTACTTTTTTTTTTTTTTTTGCACAAGAAAAACAGCTTCATTGATTAGAAAATAATTTTGCATGATTTTGGGTAGTAGAATGATGTGCTAGAGTGACTTTACCCTTACAAGCAAAGTAAGCAAAAAGATGGGCCATTGGATTTAACTGTCTATTTACATGAATAAGCGAGAAGGATTGGAAAATAAGCAGCAGCTTCCGGATATGAACCCAGTGCATCTGTTCTACCCATGAACTTGGTCTGGTGTGAATTGTGAAGAGAGAGATTAACAAGTTTTTGGCAATCAGAATATATTGTTATATCAACCATATTGGCTGTTGAGGCTGCTTCTAGACCACTAGTTTAAGGTACGAAGCTCCGCATCATAACTTTCTACGGCCCAACAACTTCTGCCTTCAGCTGTTGTGAGGTTTCTACCGGTGTTTTGAAGAACAAAAGCTTGTCCTGCAGCACCTGTGTTTGGGTCAAATGAGCCATCTATGTGAAGAGTAGCACAATTCCCTACTCCAATCATGTTAATGCGTTGTGGTTGCATACCCCTTGCCAATAGATTGTTATCACCGGAGAGAGAGTATTTCTTGTTGCGTGCTTGCCATATTATGTAAACCATCACACATAATTTCCCAAAGTAAAAAGAGATTTCTTGCTTGGTCATTTGAAGTTGTAAAGACCCAAGCTACTCTTTAATTAAGAGTTGCAGAGGTTGCGTCACCATTGCGTCTGGATTGATCCCAATCTGTGCTTCACACCAAACAGCCCTAGCACAAGGGCATGTGAAGAAGAGATGATGAAAAGTTTATTGCTGTTGTAAACAAAAACAGCCCTGTACTTTGTGTGTAGTCTCACTTTTGGTCTTGAACTTTTAAATGTGACACTATAGTACCCCGAACCTCTAGAATATACATTTAGGCTCAGTTTAAGAGTACAAAAACAAATATGTAGAGGGCAAAACCTTGTGTATATATTTGCACTGTTCATATTTGTAGTTGTACGCTTTCCAAATTGTGATAAAATTACAAAAATGCCTATGTTTTGATTCTCTTTTTTACTATTCATCTTTTATTTTTGGACTTGGAATGCAAATTAGTGGTAGCAAATTAAGCTCTTCCTGATTTGTTCATTGGGGGTAGTCTCACTTTGGACACTTACTTTGCCGCCATTTTGACACTTATGTAATCTTACCCCTCACAATAACATTAATTTAACAAAGTTGGAGTTAAATGTATATATCTGGAAGTCAAGTGACATTCGAAAGTTCAGACCTCGAAGTGAGGCTCCCTAAAGTATAGGATTATCTTGGGTACTTATCTGTAATATTTACTCTGTTTTTTTTTAAATGTACTGGTTCACGTAGATATGTATGATTTATGTTTGTTTTGGTTAAAAAACGAAAACGTATCAATGAGTGGAGTTGGAGTTGGTTCCCTATCACTCTGGTACATGCACATGGTCTGTAATGCGTAAATATATTGTTTACTTGGTASATGTTGTGGCACTACCATGACATCACCATTCACCATAGGATGAGGTTTCCCTTTTCCTTTCTTTTCCACCTTCCGTTGGACGACTCCTATTCCCTTGAAGCTGCGGTACTGCTTTCAAATATTCTGAAATTTTAGGCACAAATCGAGATTGGTTTCGGTGAGGGCAAGCCTGTGCTCACACCGTTCCAACAGCTTTTACAATCTTGCATAAATCATGGTCCGAGAATGGTGCCTTTGTGACAAATATACGCGCGCCTTCATCGACCAAATGTATTTGATTTTTTATGTGTGTTGCTGATGGTTTATCCGCACAAATATGTTTAATTTAACCAGGATTCTCTTGATAAGTTGAAAAGCTGTAACCATCCTAAAGTTCTTGTTCTTACAATTTCAGGGAAGTTAAACGTGGCTTAGATATTGGGAGGCATTCCTATGCTATTCTTGTGTTCCCAGGAAACATAAAATAGCAACTGTTTTCTGCTTCCCTGGAATAAGAAAACAAAGGAAATGCTCCCAATGAACAATACCAAACATGGCATAAAAGTAAAAGTCTAAAACAATGGCAATCAGTGGGTATTGGGTCCCATGTAGACATAATCATTTTAAATTGGACAAAGTTTGATAGATAGACATAATCATTTTCAGCTGCAGTTTCTGACTCGCTTTCTAGGTGGTATTCATTGAATGGTCATTTTACGATGTGCCTCTAATGGGGGTACCGGTAAACTGCCCTTATCTCTCATTCCTGTACGCATATGCAGATTTTTTAGGTGGTAGGTGGTAGGTGTTATCTCCTTGGCGAGTTCAAATCTGTGCTTCCACAATGAAAGTCCGCCAAATGTCCTCTTAACGTGTGCGGAGGAATTCTCAAATCTGCGCCCAAACGCCCCACATGCGTCGCGTGCGGAGCTAAATCGTCCAAAACCAAAATCTCTACCCATTTCCGCTTACTCTCTCATCCCCGGCGCCGGAGCGTTTCGACAGACACACTGGAAACGACAAACGGTTTCTTCTCTGACCAGAAACGGTAATACCTTTCGCACAGTTCATCTTCTCAAACGGTAGCAGACCTCCCTCCTCTCCGACCTCTCCTCTCTCCCATTTTCTCCCTCTTTAGGATATTTTCCTTCTCCCTCTCTCCTTTCTTCTTTTTCTTCGAACTCACGACACCACTACTGCAACTCGACCCAGCGGTGGGATCACCACGAACCCCCTGTCTCTCATTCTTCTCTTCAGTATTTCTCTCCTCTCTCATTCAACCCTATCACTCTCATCTCTTCCCTCCTCCCAGTGACATCTTTCCCCATCCTCACTCGATTCCGATGGATATCTCAACGTTTTTTTTTTTTTTCAATTTCTCTCTCTTTTCTCACTACTTCTCTTCCCACCTTCAACATCTTTGGGCTTTCCCTCAATCCCATGCAGAATCCCCTGTTCTTAATTATTGTTCTCTGGACCGACAATATTAATCGTCGCCTGAAACCATATATTTCTTAGATTCCGACGAGAATCATATCAAAAAGTCGGTCATCTTGCCAATCTCTCAGTTATAAACCTGCATCGAATTCGGATGCGAAATCCTCCCCCTGTTGTAGCATCTAGTTCAGATCGGAATCATCTGGAGCTTGCCCCATTAATCTATCACCTTAGGTCCATGGGTTCCTAAAAGTTAAAAAATAGGGTAAATTACAAAAACCTCCCTGAAGTTTCCCCAATAATTTCATTGTAACAAATACCTTCTGTTGCGACGGAAAATGGTAGATTGACGTATCAATTGTTTTCAAATACTCGTTATACCCTTTATAAATTATTTTACATACAAAATTACTAAAATAATCCCATTTTAACTCAACAAAAACCTCTTTTAATGATTATTTTAGTAATTTTACATACAAAATCACTGAAATATGTTTTTTTGTTGAGTTAAAATGAGATTATTTCAATAATTTTGTTTGTAAAATTATTTATAAAAGGGTAGAATRAGTATTTGAAAAAAGACTGGCKCATCAATCTAATGTTTTTCGTGAATAGTGATGGAAGGGAGGTTTTTGTTGAGTTTTTCAAAAGTTCAGGAGAGGTATTTGTTAAAATGAAACCATAAGARAAGTTTTTATGATTGTCAGAAACTTCAGGGGAGGTTTTTTGTATTTTACCCTAAAAAGATAAAGGATGTGGAAGAGAGACGAGTTCATACCTCCGATGAATCTTTTGGAACAGTCGTCAACACCAGAGATGAGAGAGTATGCAGGAACCAGGGAGAGATTTTAGTTTTGGGTGATTTATCTCCGCACGTGTTGAGGCGGTATTGCTGTTTCTGGTTGGAGAAGAAACCATTTTGCCGTTTCCAGTGTGTTTGCCGAAACATTTGTCGGTTCTAGAGATGAGTGAGTAAGTAGAAATGAATAGAGATTTTGGTTTTGGGCAATTTACCGCCACACGCGTTGAGGGGTGCATGTGGGAGGACACTTGGTAGGCTTCCACTGAGTGGGGCATTTTGGGGCACCAGGCCATGGGGCATAGATTTGAACTATGAAAGTGACTGTTGCTTTCTGAAAAACATGATGGGTGGAAGATCAATAAAATTGATGTAGTCTTTTACAACGATTATTGATGTAAAACTTTGTGCTCGATGAAGTTTTACATCGAATCGACGTAAAACTCCACTCCATCCAAATGTATGCAAAACTGAACCGGAATAAAATTTCATATCAACCATAATTATACGCTATTTTCCAAACGCCTACAAAACCAAACCATGTAAAATTTACATCGGTTATTGATTTACATCACTTTTAATTTTTTATTTTTTTCCTATTTGCTGCTATGTATATATGATTACCATAGTACACTCATAAGAATCTAGAAAGCGAGCTTGTTGGGCATTATTCATAAGGAGGCCTTTTCATTTTTTTTTTTCTAAATTTGTTTTTCTTACTTCTTAGACACTTGGACATAGCTATTGACTTGTGAGGTAAGGTAATCAAATTCAAGGCAGCAAGCTTCATTTTGCAGAGTGATATAAGAAGGGTCTTCTCATCATATTACAAAATCAGCTTTTGATCAATCAAACTGCCCGCAGGAATAAAAAAAAAAACTGACCAGAGTCTCAAGTTGTTACAGTTCTTTTAGATGGGTTTACGCCTGAAGCTGAAGGCGGGGGCTGAGCCAGGATTGGATTCTTGTAATCTTCTTTGGGTTGGGGACTTGTTGACTTGGGGGAGGTCTCAGCTCAGCGTCACATACTTATAATTGATTGTGTATTGATGATGATTCTGACTGCCTATGTGCCTAGGTTTTAAGTT